AGGTGAGTCGACAGGTGCCAGCCGATCCTGCTACGCACAGCCAGCCAGCTTAGCCACTCTTACCCAGCTTTATAAGTGTTTACTGTTTTTGTTTGATAAGGTATCCTTTATTGATCCCAGGGGGGGATTCATTAAAGTTGACACCTGGTGTTTCCTAACCGAGCATCAAGCCCTGGCCACAGTGGTGAGAGCACTAAATGTATGTGAAGGTTTACAGATATTCAATAATCCTTTTCATCTGTAAATATTCCAGACATTTTGAACAATGCTTTCTTAAACTCCTGTCATGAGCATAACAAATATAACAGATAAGGTCTTAAATGCTTCAGCATGAATTAAAAGGGGAAAGTATAGCAGAAGTCTGCATTTACAAAGAGGTTTATTCAGAATCTTAAATAAGGTCTTATTAGCATATTTTAATAGTAAGCTATGCTATTTGCATAATGAGTCTTCCGCCCATAAAGCACACAGCTATAGATGATGAATTATTCATTCATTTGGGACAGTAACCCAGCATAACATACATCTCTTAATTGTAGTTCATTGAATGACTGTAGCTGTTCTTTTGTTCTTTCCACAGCTTGCTGGGCTGCAAATATACGATTTTCAAACCAGTTAGAGATGTTCACTGAAATAGATCAGCTGAATTTCATACTTGAATTCAAAAGAAATAAGTAAGAATACTGCCACCGGAATCTATGGTGTTTTTTTTTGTTTTTTTTTTTGTTCTTTGGGTGAGTAATAAAATTAACAATTTCTGTGTTTTATGTCTTTACATCTGGATAACGGCTGGTGACTGGAGGTTTCAGAAAATTCCCTGTGAGTATTTCAGGATTATGTAGATCACACTTCACCTTCTTATAGCACCTAGGAATTATGGGAAACTGAGAATTAGAATCCTCTCTTTGAAAGTTGCAAGAATGCTACAAAATTCAAAAACACACTGATTGAACACATTGATTAAAAATGAGCGTTTGAAAAGTTTTTGTTTCACTTCATGATTATAAGCATAAACTAAAATTGCTGTACTGTGACTGAGAAGCAATAAATTTGTTACCAGACATTCTGTGAGAAATTGGGTTAATTTGCATAATAATACATTACTTTGGATTTCATTTATTTTAATAAGTCCTGCCTGAGGTTTCATATCTTGCATTCTCATGGTCATGTGCCACAGTGTTCCATCACCTTAATATACATCAATATTTCCATTAAAATATTACTCTATCATAAATATTACATATGCTTAATCATTTGTGTAATAAAACACAAAAAGTTAAACAAACCACCCTCTATCACATGCCATTAGCTGAATACACACACACACACATATGGAAGCCCCTTCAGATAATGGAAGGTCTTACATAGGGAATGTAAAATGCAGACAGGTAAAATATCTTCTTAGAGCTGAATTTTGGAATTCCGAAATGTATATCCATTTGAATATCACCAAAATGTTTTTACTCAAAAATTTCCCAGTTCTTAATGGATGATCATACAGAATGTTCAGTTAACTTCAAATATTTTTAGGTCTCCTTTTCCAACTTTTACTGGAAAAAATGTCAGCACCATACAGTCTATCTTTAATATAATGCTTAGCAAATCTGATACAAAAAGAAGACACTGTGAAAATGTGTATTTGTTTTGTTTTTAATTACACAGATAGATAGTTTAACACAGACATCAACCTGAAGTCAAATTATTTTACAGTGTCACATGTCCAACACGACGCACATTTAGTAAGGGAATTAGCAAAAAGGGTAAAGCATGCAATTAAAACAAGCTGAAATCAGAAGTGAAGTCTCCTGGCATACTTCACTTTTTAATCTAGAAACTGATCACAGGTACCAAGAAAGAAGGAACAGAAAACATCAACCATCCCATGTGTGTAATCATGTGTTGAAGTACAAAAAAGCTTTACATGTCAGATCAGGCCCTTTCTGGACTTCCAGTACTTCTGAGAAATGGAACATCTCTACAAGGACATGGAGAGACACAGCTGCATCCAATTGACTACAGACAGTTCTGCTGCTTTTCAACATTGTTGGGCTCACTGTACAAGCTAATTGGACCATTAAGGCTAAACCCTTAGAATAGTAGCCAATGCATTTTTCACATGAGACGAAAAATAATAGCATATGTTTTCTTTGTAAATCAAACTCCAAAGAGGCACAGCTATTTGCAGAAGAGTGTCAGACCACATGCATGTCAAATATATTTAGTCTTCATGTGAACAAAGTCTTTTGCATTGTAATAATCTGAATCAACTGGAAAGATCTGTAACCTTATGAGTCATTTAAAAAAGACATGTGAGCTGAAATAAATCTCTGTTACTGTTTTTGTAGACAGACTAGCCTTCATTGTTGAGCACCAGCACTGACTCCATTTGGATATGAACAAGCTTTCAGCATGTCACAGCCTAGTGTCCCACGGTCCAAAGTTTTAGCTCCCCCTTCTGTGTGAATTTGCCAAATGATCCAAAGCCTTACTCCGTGGAGACATCACAGACCAGCACTTGTGGAAAAACCCCCCCTGATAGCTACATGCTCATACGTGGCCAAAATATCAACAAATCAGTGGAGTGAATAGCATTAAATGCATAAAGTACAGAATTCATTGTGATTAGTATGGATCACACCTTTGACAATTACACCCACCCAAACACATTGGGGTGCAATTTAGGAGTGCCAGAAAAGTTAATCCTCCAAACCCCACAATAAGATTCTGTGATACATCTACTGATGTATGATAAAAACTGCAGCCTCTCAATGTGCTTTGAATTCCTGTAAAAAGTTTCACAAACATATGTAAAGGAGTCTTGGTTTTACAGTACAGAACACCAGCTGTGATGCTCCAGGTCAGGAAATATGATTTGTAGATAGAAGCAGTATCTTGAATTCTTTAAAAAAAAAATGAAAAAAAAACTAAGCTCACGGATACATATGAACTAAGCGTGCTTTGATCACAAAAGTCTATCTCACACACTTTGGTTTTCAAATTCAGTTGGTTTTGGACTGTTTCCACAGACCTGTCCATAGCATATAAAACTGGGCTGTTTACTGGTTGGTCATACAGCTTTGTGTAATAGCTTTGGTCAAAATTTATGCATTAACTTAACTTGCAAGCTTGTAAATCCAGTTGTATAACCTCTAGCCCCTACACACCAGAATGCACAGGCCTTTAAACAGTTAGCTTAATTTCCAACACAGACAAATAAAGGCTTGTATTTACTATATTTTCTTTGTTGTGTTTCTTCAGTGCAGTCTAAGCAAGTTACAGTTTTCTTCTACCAAACACCAAACTTGACCTTAACAAGCATTATATTTGAAAGTGAAGAATTTTCCCAATCAATTTTTCAAGTGCCTTTACATTATTAGCATGCAGATTGACACTGCAAATCAATCAGTTCTCCCTTAATGATTGGGAATATACACTGAATATGAGCATATATGCATGTAAGAACAGGGAAGCAAATTAATGTATTTTTACCACTTTTCGTGTTATGTTGAATGGCTACCAACTCACATTCATTTTAGGGGGTGAATTCAGCTTCAGAGAGGGCAGGGCCACTGTGGAAGAGGTAATATGGGGGAGGAGCCTATCATGAGTAAACACTAGCTGAACAAAACACAGGTAATGCAATTAGGATCCATATATAATGCACATAAAAAGATGCAGAGTACCTTGCAGTTAATCACATTTTAAATATCATATATCATATATTAATCTGAATAATGGAATATGAAAATAGACAATTTACATATGTAATGCGATAAATGGTAAGAAAAGCTATTAACACTAACATACCCAAAAAATCCTATTCTGCTGTTCAGTCCCAACCAGAATGGCACAGAACATGGAAACTGAAATAGCTGGGGAGACAAAGAGCTTCAATGTTTGGTCCATATCAGAGGTAGGCAGCCCATTCAGGTAAAACAGCTGGAGAACTTCCTGTTCTAGAACTTCCTGTTCTTTCTGACAAGACTTTTCTAATTGTAGAGGATTCATTACAAAGATTAACAGGGCAGTGGGTCCACAGTTGGAGCGTGAAAACGGACAGGAGTGACATGATGTGTAGGTTTTATTATGCATGACTGTTGAAATGAGAGGTCTGGCATTAAAACTAATTGTTTCTAAGAGTGGGGAAACATCAGACTACTACTGCGAGTGGTTGGATGCCTTTATTGGAAAGGTTCTCTAATGCCCCTCCATCATTCGGGACGTTTATCAGAAGCAGCATTCTGTGGATGTCCAGACAACATTACATATCGGTGTTCACCGTGTTTGTACTTTGTAATTAGGAGACACTGATTTGATTGACAGATAAGCCAGGGCAGCTCCTCCTTTTCCCTGTAGGTGGCAGAGTCGTGCACAACTCTACACCACCGGCTTAGCTCATGAAATATCAAGCTGTTCTTCCATTATTCTGAATGTGACATTAAGTCAGTGGTGGAGGACCACACCTCAGTACAGTGCGGGAGCCCGGGTGAGTACAGATACTAATGTACAGAAATGGTTTCTCAGATGCACATCACTGTTCATGGCACTGGAGTGACAAGGGACATCTGTAAATGGGTATAGCCTCATAATAATCTCTGTAAAGCGATTCCACCACAGGGCTTGTCCCTAACCCCGCCACCCCCACCTGCCCCATCACCTCCTTTACACACAATACACATTTTCCAAAGAATGAAGATTCGGCCTGAGTCATTGCTATTCCTTCAATACAAAAAGACATGAGAATGACTAAAACATTTCTCTTATTTGGCAAACTCACGTCTGGACCTCTTTTAAATACTATATACATTCACATTAAGTTACTGTTATTATTTTAAATAAATTTATATTATATTTATATATTTATAAAATGCCCTATGGGGTTGAGTTGAGGTTCCATTCAGTAGCTAATTTTTTTTTATATATATATTATATATATTGCACCCCTGTCCTCTCAATGTTTCACAATGCAAGCCATAAAAATACTCTGCGTGACCATTCCATTAGATACAACCGTTTTACTGAGTATTTATTCCTTTGCTCAAGTTTGGCCCCAATCAAATGAAAGAGATTGGTCAGGACACACCTTCTGTCGCAGAGAAAAAAAAGCCAGTGATACCATATGGTCCAAAACTACAAACTAGTATTGTACAAACGTGTTTTGTGTCTTCCCAAGTATCTGCTCCAGTGTCCTGTCAAAGAGGGTGGAGGGGAGGTGACTGGGAGGTGGTGCAGGAGGTGCATGAAGGAGGAGCAGTTGAGGGACGGGGGGAGGTAGAGAGAGAGGTCAGCGTACACCACCTCTTTAGTCTTTTCGTGCTTTGGAAAAGAAACAGGGAAACGGGAAAGGTTAAACCCACATGAATGTCTGCCTGTCTGTTTCCGCTACAGAAATGAATCCGGACAGGAGACTGATGTCAGTGTTTGCCTCAGTTTGTAACTCTTTGAGGTTTATCCCAGATCTGACACCCATTACTGACTGGAGATCAGATCTCATTTTTAACTCCATTCTCATTTACAAAAAAAAAACAATATTCTTGTGCAGTCTCCCATTACTGTTATTTGCTGTTTTGGTTATGGTCAAAGGTGGTGGCATCATTAAGTGTCACGTGGACATTCTCTCTTCTTGTTAGAGTAATCCGGATGTCACGCCGGACTCACATTGAGCCAAACATCTTGAGATGCATTCAGCGAGCTACAGTCTCTGTCGATGTCCCGGGTCACTGCCGCTTGGCTCGCTCTGTTTCCAGGGCTGACGGACAAGCTAAAGTATCTCTCATTTTGGTTACAAGACGAATGCTTCCCCAGTCTCCTCATAACTTTGGCAGTGTGATAAAAAAAGGTTTGGATTGTGTTTGTTTTGTTTTTTTTTTTTTCTAGTTCATTTGGGTTCACATAAGCACAGAGAGGTGAGTCCGGTGTCGATTTTATTGGCTCGCTAGCAAGGTAGTTAACACGGTTTCCTTTTTTGTTTCTCTCTCTCTTTGAAAATTTTTGGACTAGTATTATTCTTAAAGCAAATAAAATCCATCAAAATAATCCTTCACAAAGAATGCAGATTTCTTCTTGAAGAACAGGACTCAATGAACGAAATGGTCAAGTCATGTGACCCTGTTGCCCCTCTTTGAGGAACAGGGAGATGTAGATGAGAGCCCAGCAAACAGGGGACCCCAGCAGCATGGGATACCTTGAGGGACTTACTCTTGGAGATGATTCCTGAAGTGATTTTTATCTTTCTTTTGTGCCATGGTGGTGTGCCTACATCCTTATGGTTCAGTTCCCAGACCTAAATGAACTGAATTAGACTCCGGCATCATTACATAATCCACTCCGGACTTAGGCACCGCCGTGTTGTTTTACCAAAGCAAGTTAGGCAAATCAGAAATATTAGAAAGCTTACAGAGATGGACTCAATAGCCGTATCTGTACTGTTTACAGTGTTTTACAATGTCCATTTTTATTTCAATGTCTGGGAAAAAAAAGGCAGCCATTGATTTTCAAAATATTTTTCTTGGTAAAATATAGCTTGGCCATACCATAAACCTTCACTTGTGACATCTGAACGTGCATGGGTGTTTGGATGGCTAAAACAGGAGAGGTGGAATCATACAGTATAACCTGATTCGGGCTGACAGAACGTGATCTTCTGGGTACTAAGAAGCGGTTGCAGTATCCATGGCAGAGCTAACTACAAATGGGGTATGATGGAGAGTCTGTGGGAGGTGGCTGGGCTGGCAGGAGTCAGCGGGACGCGCTGTCCAACACCGCTGGCGTGGCAGGAGTGGCGGACCGTGAGGCACTGCTGGAGTTGGCTTCCTTGGGGCTGCTGGAGACGCTGCTGGTCCCACCTCCAGGCAGGGTCAGGGGTGCTGGCGGGCTGCTCTCTGATGGTGTGGGGGGTGCGGTGGATGAGGATGAGGAGGAGGACGAGGAGGAGGACGGGGTCCCCAGCGGCATGCTCTGCAGGCCTTGGCCACATACGTGATGGTGCTTCTCCCAGTCCTTGTGCTGGCAGAAGGAGCCACAGTATCGTGCAGTGTTACAGCCGCTACATGTCTCACTGGCCTTGCGTCCACAGTTCCAGCAGCTCTGTGGAGACAGGAGACCAATGTGAACATCTATGGGAGTCCCACTGCAGAGACTGGAGACCAGTATGGACATCTGCTGGAACGCCACTGTGGAGACTGGAGACCAGTGTGGACATCTACTGGAGTCCCATTGTGAAGATGGGAGACTAGTGGGGACATATACAGGAGTCCCACTGTGGAGACAGGAGACCAGAATGAACATCCACTTGAGTCCCACTGTGGTGACAGTTAACCAATGTGAACATTATTGAAGTTCCACAGGAGACCCTTGCAAATATCTGCAGGAGTCGACCAGTGGAGACTCCCTCATCTTAATCTGTTTGCTCACCCATGAGCTGACAGTAGTGGTTCAGGCTCATATCGCAAATGACGGCACATGGTCAGTGTTTGTATCCTTGCAGGCAGCTCTTTAAAGATAACCTCACCCTGCTGTCTCCACCTCTGTGCAGGACTGGCTGCCACCATGTGACAAATAAAGTATCAGTGAACCTGTGGCTCCAACCATGTGTCAACATGGCTACGGCCATTCGCACAGGGCATGCGACGCGCCTGTAATAAGGACACGTCAACACGGATATTTTGGGCATCTGCTCGTGGCCATATGTAGACAGACATACCCTCAGCCTGAGTGTGAAGAGCGGCTGTGAGAGTGAGCAGGTGCTTAGGGGAGACCTGAGAGATATCCAGGATCTTCATCAGCCATACTCCCACTGGAGTTAAGTACGGCCATGTGCCGGGCAGAGGTCCGACCAGGACCAGGAGATTCTCACCTCACTGGAGTCCTCCTGCTGGTTGATTACGGAAAGTGCGTCCTCTGAAGCCTGCCTCTTGGCCTCAGCCAGCGCCCGCTCCATTTTGGACCTCTCGGCGGAGATCATCTCATGGGCCTTGCGTTCTGCATCCGATACAGCCTTCTGGAGCTCCGACATCGCCTGCCTTTTCACCTCGTTCACAGCCTCCTCTAAGAACAGTGAGAAGGGAAGGGGAAAAAAGAGAGAGGAGAGTCAAAAGCCCAGACCTGAACCCAGGCTTCTTCTGTGATTGTCCTTTACTGAAACACTCTAAAGCTTTATCTCGGGAAACAGATGTACATCATCCAAGATTTAAAACATTCTGCCAGAAAGTTCTTAATAATTTAATACAACAAGTCTGGTAACAATCATTTTGAGTGCTGATGACAAGCAATTTGTTTTAAAGTTTATTTTACAGTCATCAGTCTGTGTCCCTGTTGAGGATATTTGCTTTTTACCAAATAAATAAAAAACAAAGCACAAGATCTGTTGAATGTCCCCTACTTGCATAATACAGGTGACCAGATTTTCCAGTCATATCAAAGCAGTACCGAGTTGTACTGTAAGAAATAATTTCACAATGTGCTCTTTAATTCTGAAATGGCTCTTATAATTCATTATCTAAGTTCTTACCTCCTAGTTGATAAGCCACCAGATTTTATTAGAACACAATTGTAAGCAATTTAATAAATATTAGTTTTTTTATCTTTCGCAAAAAGCTTGAACATAAACAAAAAACTTTTTGGGCTCATAACACCCCTTGACTCAAAATTTGGTCAGGCAGCAGAGCCCACAAACCATATTACATGTTAGCAACCCCTACAGATGGGAAGATGATTACACTCCCTGATTTATTTGTGTCATTTCTGGCCTCGGACACAGCTGTCACAGTCCTCTTGCTGTCCCACGTCCACAAAAATTTAAAGCTAGACAGGCGATCCCTGCTCTCTCTCTTCAGCAAACCCAGCACCAATTCCATCACACTCCATCAGATTCCTCTCCCATCCCCACCAACCCAAGCCATTGGGTCAGCTGATTAATTATATCAAGGCAGCTCCTGAGCAAGTCCTAAAGTATTGAGCACTCGGAAAATGGGGAGCAGTGGTTCTAATGTCTCGGGCCCAGGAAGAGCCGGGCTGGGGGCGATCATCACGTTTTCTCTCCTCTTTCCACCCAGATCCTGTCTGTCTGACACCTTGCTGGCTTTTTGGTAGGACGTGGCCCAGAGGCAGCGTCATATGGGACACGGGCCAGGGGGCACAAGCACGAGTAGCCCAGTGGACCCTACAGCACCAGTGGGAATGGCAGCCAGCTGTTACTCACCCTGTTTGTTTTGCAGTTGCTTTAGTGCTGGTGAGTGCGGGATGCTTGTGGTACCTATGTGAAGAACAACTGCAATTAAAAGGGCAGTGAAAATGCAGCACATATTGTATACACAATAGCCACTTCTACATTGGACTGATAAAGACTGGGAACCCTGGCTCTGCCCCCAGCCTGTGTTCCACCTCCAGCCTCAGCTGTTCCCCCAGCCTGAGCTGTGCTCCTATCCTATGATCCACCCCTAATCTGAGCTCTGTCCCTAGCTTGAGCTCCACCCACAGTCTGAAGTCCACTCCTCAGCCTGAGCTCCGCCCACAGACTGAATTCCACCTCCACCCTGAGTTCTGGTCCCTCCGGTTAAAGCTCCGCCCCCAGACTGAACTCCAACCCCAGCCTGAGCTCCACCCACATACTAAATTCTACCCCTCAGCCTCCCAACCTGAGCTCATCCCCTAGTTTGTACTTTGCCCCCAACCTGAGTTACCCTTAAGCCTTTGCCCTGCCCTTCCACCCCCCCCCCCCCACATAGATCCAGATTCAAGAAATTGGTTAGTCCCAACACTCTGATCTGTCTCCAGACTGTATGCTCTGTCCCAGGCTGTCATGACTGCTCTGACCCTACAATGTGCTCTGTCCCCAGACTGCACTCCAGCTACAGACTGTGCGCTGCCCCTGGCCACACCACAGACAAACCCATCCTTATTCTGGCTCTTTATGTCTAACATCACCTCTGTTAAACCTTTTAGGCTGTGCCCTACCTGTCCAAGGTCTGATCGCTTCTCTTCATACGTTTTTTAAAGTTGCAAATTGTCCCATTGGAAGTCACTGTTCACGATATCACGAAAAGGCTGTGCTGAATGGAAAAGTTTCTTTTACTGTGCAAATGGGCTTTCCCAAGCCTCACCCCCGTCCGAACCAGGCCACCCTACTGTGTCCATGCTGGATCACTGCATTTTCACTGTGATTCTAAATGCAGTTGCCTTTCATCGAAGAGAGAGATGGAAAGCACTTCCGCCTAATGACACGACTGATTTGCGGCTCCTGGCCTCGCATAACTAGGCGACCGGCTGGTGCTTGGCTCTTACCGGCTTTCCTCCAGATCTCCTCGGGCAGGTATCCTGTGGACGCCCTGTGTAGGAAATCTCGGGGAAGATCTGAGGCACACAGAGAGGAAGAGTGCTGTGTTTTCGCCACGTCATCTGAGCCAACGGACAAGCTTTAAGTCTGCATCACAGGGTTTAAAGGCATCATGGGACACATGGTGGGCAATGTGCATGTGTGCGTTGGCATGCTTGCAGGATTTTTTTGCAGAGGAAATACCTAGAAGCTGCGTCTGGCTGCTGTTAGCGGTACCCGAGGTGGAGTTGTGAGGCAGGGGGAGGCGGCGCTGGGAGGAGCCCCCACCTTTTTTCATCTCCTCCACGTCGCTGTAGCGACGGATCCAGTGGTTCATCTCCTCGCGGTCGGCCTCCTGGCAGCGCCGCAGGACGGTCAGCGAGCGCCGCGTCTTCTCCACCATGTCCATGATGCAGTTCAGCAGCTGAAGGGTGGGGGCAGGGCAGAGGGGGGAGGAGGCACATGGAGACTCAGGGCTGCTGTGCCTGTTTGTTCCCAGAGTCCTTCACTCTTACGATGAGGGCATGCATACTGAACGGGAAGCGGGCATAGGGGGCAAAAGTTCACCATGAGCAGCGGCGCATCCAATTGGAAAATGCAATTAAAAGGGGGCGTCATCCTGTGTGACTCTTATTTGTCAGCAGGCCAATGGGAGACCGCCTGTGGACACAGAGCTCCGCTGTGCCTGTTTCGGTTACATGCAGACTGTAGCTGTTGGAGATCATTACTGCCGAGTGTGACATCCAGCAGACCTGACACCTGGTGTTTACCGCACTATTACTATAAATAATAACTTCTGTCCGCGGGCCTTCCATCAACCCAGCCCTGACTAAAACTGACACAGTCACTTTCTCCCCAGAGGCTATAAGCTCCGCCCCAACCCAGAACCCCAGTGCAACCTACGTTGTCAAGGTGCTTCCACTCCTCCGCCCACTCGCGATCCGTCAGCCGGTGGTCGATGACCTCTTGGCGCACGCCATGGGTCGCTGTAACTCAAAGAGACCCCCGGTCAAAGATCAGACCCCCAGCTGGTCCAGGGAGGTAAACATAACAGCGCGAGGCCGTCATGTAGACGAAGTTCCAAAAATCCACTATATATGTGGACGTTTTAGATAATTAATACCGTATTTCATTACCCTAATGTCCACTGTAATTTAATGAAAGCAGCGGTTCACTCGCTCAGATTGAAATGTTTATAGAAATGGCCCTGCACCCAAAAGTACAACAGAAATGCTCCCAAAGGGATGTTAACTCGGCATCATATTTTTCATAATTAAATGGGGTGGCTCACCTGTCTGCCGGTGCCGGTCCCGAGCCTCACGATGCTCGGCCTGCCGGTAGGCGTCGCGGTAGTGGTGGGCCATGGCCATGTCCTCCAGGCGGTAGTGCTGGGGGGTGGGCCCGGCCGAGTGGGCCAGGGAGTTGGGGGGATGGGCATTTAGGCCGTTGGGGGGTGGGTGGCCGGCCAAGCTGCCACTGGGGCTGTAGCGCTGGCTGGGGCTGACGGTGCAGGGCCGCTTAGCCAGGTGCTCCGCATGCAGGCCGTCCCGCTCCGCGCTGTTCTCTTTGGTCCTGATGGGAAACGAGGCCACCTGGTCAGACGTCAAGTGCTCAGGACGTCCTTTCCCACCTGCGTCTCTGCACCCCCCCTCCCCACTCCCCCCAGCATGTCGACGATTTCCTCAACAGACCGGAACACTGACAGGAATCCGTCCGACCATCCAACAAAAACGATTACACTCCAGAACTCATCACCGCCGAAACAGCATGGCTGCTTCATGCCCCCCCCCCCCCCCCCCCAAACCATAGACAGGACTTCTCCATCCGGCCAGATAGCCCAGTGCACTCAGTTTTCAGGATGAAATAATAAAGGCCCCCTCCCTACACCAATGATCCCCCCCCAACCTCCCCGCCTGGATCAGCTCAAGCAGAGGTTCAGCAAAGCACCATCTGGACAAATCCCAGACATATGGGCAGCTTCAGAGAAACTCAGGGAGGGAAAAAGATTATATGCATCTTAAATTACAATAAGTTTTTTTTTCCTTCCCTCTTGATGTGGCATGTTCGGAGGCTACAGGAGACACAGCGGGTGAGATCCTCAGTGGCGTTTGGATGTGTGAGAGGAGATGCTCACAGTACACAGTACATGCCGCTCAGACGACAGCCACAGCATTTGCCCTATTCCCCACTATGCTCAATGGAGAAAGATGGCCAATATATCTGGGCACCCAGCGTGGGATGGCCCGAGATGCACACACCATTCTCACCATACATTGAAATAATCTGGAATCGCTAGAGAAGTGGTGCAATCCGAGATTGTAGTGCCTCACCTGTCGGGGGTCTGTCTCTTGCCGTGCTCGTTGATCTCCAGCAAGATCTCGGAGGAATCCAGGGGCGAGCTGGCATTAGCATCCAGCAGCAAGAGCTCGTGCTGGGCCAGGTACTGGGCCGGCGTCTGCTTGGCCATGCGGGCACAGTGCAATAGCTCCCTCTGCAGGAGAGGCAGGTTAGCCTGGGTGGGAAGACAGGGGGAGGAGGGTGAGACAAGTCATAGCCCATAGACCAGCAGAGCTTCATGGTCACATACCCTCTGCTCACAACTGTTCCTCCCGCTGCCCGTGGATGACAAGATGTTATTTATATACAGTGGTACCTTGGTTCTTGAACTTAATCCGTTCCAGACTCCGGATCGAATCCTAAAAATTTCGAGTTCTGATCGAAAACAAATTAATTGGTTCCCGGCCCCCCAAAATTACACCTAAATACCGCTCCTTCCGTGTGCCACGCCTCCTTGTTATCCTCGTGTGGGATCCCCATGTGATCAGTTGTTTCTGGTTGTTGTCATTAGTCCTCTGTATTCAGCTTGTTTCCCCAGTCCGGTCATTGGGTGCGTTCCACTTGCTTACAGCGCTGGCTTAAAGCAACGCATTCTGATGCTGACGCAATGCATTACAGTTAGATGCATTGCGACCTCTCACCCGGCTGCACAAACTGGAACCGCCTCCGTGACGACACACCTTTGCCCTTATTGGCTGAAGAGTTTAGTTACATGCATGACGTTTGTATCCCAGGCAGGTCTGATGTGTAATGTGCTATTTCTCCCGAATATCACGTAAAGTAGTGAGAACTGGTTTTCAGTTAATTTACCTGGTAAAGTAAAGTTTAAATAAATTACATAAGTGATCTAATAGTACATGTAAGTTAGTGGTTTATTTATTGTTAGTTACTGTAATGTTGCGCTGCTTTATTTGGTTAATCGTCCAGTCTGTGAAGAAGGCATTCAAGTAAGAATTGCATTGTAGTATGACTCATTTCCTGGTGCATACAATTTATATTAGGTCAGCGTTCACGGTTCGACTTCTGATATTCAGATCGAGTTCTAGGTCAAACTGCTTTGTTCAACTTTCAAGAAATTCGAGTTCTAGTGAGTTCGAGAACCAAGGTACCACTGTATTTTAAAATCCCAATAAATCCATAAAGCCAGCACTGCCGAATATCTGAAGGCACATGGAAGCTTCATGTTCTTCTCTTCCTCACTCATTTTTCCATCTCTGTTTGGAGCTATAACACTGACAGCCTGTATCTCCCACAGTCCCTGAGCACAGTACACACTAACACAGTGATCTTACACAGAGTCTGTGTGTGTGTGTGTGTGTGTGTGTGTGTGTGTGTGTGAAGTGTGAAGTGTGTGCATGTGTGCACACGTGTCATAAAGCAGGTGGAGTAAATAACCCACTCTGAATGTGTCTAGTGTCTGACAGCGTGGACCTAATAGCAGTGAGTACAAGAAGCAGCCAGGGGTACAGTCATATTTAGGACACTCTATGACCTAGAGGCTTAGCCTCCTGAAGGGGCATTAATCAGCCACTTAAGGAAAATGGCATGGTAGGGGGTGGGGACTGTTGACACAGCCAACCAAGGATGTTTATTGTGACAGTAGGTGGAGGATCATCGAGCGACATTCAGCGCCACAGAAAAGCCTGTCAACATCTGTCAAGAAAATCTCCGCTCCCCACTCGACGCCTCTCCGCCCAACTCCGCTCCCCCCAAAGACAGCGCGGCGACAGGTTCGGCGTAAACACGCGCATGCCAGATTTAATTAATTGACAATCATTGCCATATGGGTGTTCTCAGGACGCCAAACAGACCGAGCGGAAATCCAGGTCTGCTTCTTTGTCTTCCACGCTCCACTGACATCCGCACATAGGGAAGACAGTGCAGAGCAGCAGCGAGGCAAATCCAGCCCGAGGCATGCCGCACGTGCTTTTGCAGGTGAGTGGTTTCAACAGCCAGCGCCAAGGGAACCAGGGGACTCGGGGACGCCCTTACCTTCAGGAAAGGAATGACGAAGGGGCGGAGGGGAAAGTTGGTGGCCTCCTGGAGTTTGGAATGAAACTCCTCGATAGTCAGGGTTGAGTTCTGCGGACAGCAATGAGCAAGACGGGTCATGAGTGTGAGGTGGGCAGCTTCTGAGGACGTGCCAAAGAGACAGAAAATGAAGAAGCCTGATGAAGACATGGAGATGATGTCATCACACAGTACAAGAGCAGAGCAGCTCCAATCCGAGGGTCTCAGTCCTGCAGGTTTCCAAGAGTGACTCATTTACACCCAACATCTGCCACACCACTGAGCTCAAGTGGAGCATGTATTTCGTTAACTGACATCCAGAGCAACATGAAGGTTTAACCATTTACATGGCTGGATACTTTAGATCATAGTAAACATCCTACTCATCCTAGGGCCTGAGCCTGAATGTCTTAGGGGTTAGGAGGCCGTGTCTTTAAACAGCATGCTAAGCCGCTCACCACTAGGCCCAGTACGAGGCTACGGACGCGCTCCCCGATCTCCGGCGAGATGTCGCTGCCGAACTGCTGCAGCGTGGTGAGGAAACGCTTCAGCTTGCAGAGCTGTCGGGCGCCGCAGGCGGGAGGCAGCTGCTGGGTGGACAGCGAGGCTGTGGATGACATGGCCGGCCCGTTGCTGAAGCCGTTGGGGGTGGATGGAGCCCCGTTGAGCGCCGTGGGTGAGTGGCCGCTCCCGTTTAACACTGTGGAAACACCAGGACGTGGGACAGTGTGGTCAGAGGCTGTGCATACCACGTGCAGCCCTCCCATCCCCCCCCCCACTTGCTCACTGGGCGATTCCTGCTGGGGCAAACTGGATGCCAAAGGAAATACAACAAAATGTGCATGTCGATGCACTTAAGCCTTAAGAGGAAGGAATTACAACTGCACTGGTGTTTCCAAGGGGGCCGTAGTCTACTGACTAAGACCGTTACTTTCTGCTGCTTTTTCATAAGTGGAACCATCTGACTGCCTCCCTGCCGCCCCCCAGCCCCTGCCCCTGCCCCCTCTGGTCCGCGTGCCCCACTCATTCACTAGAACGCAGCTATAAGGGGAACTTATTAAAGCAGACCCAAAAATATCCCCGCAGCCTGTGTTACATCTATTCCAATAGCAGGTGTGCTGCTAAATCAGTCCGCGCACATGTCCGCCAGCTGAAGGCAGCTTTCAGGTCCTGAATCACCCCCACCACCACCACCACCCCCACTGGTGCCAGCATTCCAAACCGTGCATTACTGAGAAAAATGACTCAGGTCTCACTTATTCCCTCATGGCCCCGCGTAGACTAACGGCCTCTTAAATGACCTAAAAAATCATCAGGCTCCTAAAACAGCATTGGCCACTAGCATGCTCGTTTGTTTACACATAACAATGGTTTCGTTTTGCAGCTGGGAAAATGATGTAATTAAAGGTGCTTTTGTTATATTTAGGATGTGGCGTATCCAGGACAAAGGAGTTTTGCCTTAACAAAATACATGTAAATGAAGAGGTACACTTCAAAATGAAATGTAACTCCGTCGCTCTCTTTCTTTGTGATTGTGCCTTGCCTGTTGCAGTAGATAGTTACTTCCATTGCTGACCTCACTCAGAGTTCCGGAATATGTTCTCCGTGGTGAGTTTTTGAAGCGGACGGTGGGCAGTCGGGGTGGTTGCCATGGCAGGTGAAATGACACGGCTCGGTGTTGCTATATAGGGAAGAAACCAGTCGGGTACCCGCCACTAGACCGCTGTCTGTAAACAAAGCTCTCGCACTAGAGCGCACCCAGTGGATACAGCCACAGTGGACCACCAGCTGACATGCGGTCACACCCACACAGGACACCTGCCACCTGCAGCCACGCAGACGTAGCTGCAAACTGCCACCGCGTCCCCCCCATGGGCGTTTACGCAGCCATCTGATTTGCATGCGGCAAGGAAAGAAACAACCAGATAAAGGCAGGACATCTGCAGCTGCTAAACCCCAAGGTAATAGTGCAGAAGTACAGTGGGTGACTTCAGTGTCAGCTACACACAACTGCACGCCCAAATTAACCACCTGCACTGCAGCCTGGCAACAAGATGCGGTTTAGCTTATGACTCAGCCTGCAAAGTACACTGCACTTCGCAGTATTCATGCATTCACCCTAAACCTTAAAATTATTTGTGAAAATGATTCACGTCTCACGTGTCGTACAGCTGACGAATACAAAGTTTCCTGGGATAACTGGGACTTACTAGTGTTAGGCGTGAAAGAGGCACTGCGATTGGTGGCCTGGTTCACTGCGGGGGGAGGGGGTGGCATGGTGGGCGGAGTCGATCTCGGTTGGGTTTTGACATCAGCAGGTGAATCTGGCATCGTTCCAACCTTCTGTTTTTTGTCACCTTCAAAAAAAGGAAAAAAAGGACCAAGTAAGCAAGGAAGAGAAGCGGCACAGTGCAAAGAGGTCACCAAAATCATGGTGCATCACAGGGGTCCTGAAAACAAAAGACGCACATTTCCCACAGCCTGTTCATTTATTATCTTTGTCACTGACTCTTATCACCTTATAAAGAATAGATTACTAAGGATTTTCACCATAAACAGCTGGAGCACTGATACACAGAACCAATACACTGGATTGACTGAATTGTAACACCTTTATGCAGGTCTACAGCTGTCATGGGGGAAGTAGGCTCAGGTGAGAGGCAGAGGGACATGGTAAATACAATGTCAGTGCTCCTGGAAACGTCCAGTAACACCTGCTGTCCTGCCCAGCAGCTGCTCTGCCTGGCACTCGCAGCAGCCCTTCCCACCCATCCCATAACCCACACACACACACACACACAGAAGATGACTCGGTGTGGCAATGTCCGTTACGCCAGCCCAAACAAGGCAAGCTCTGCCCTGGCCGTACTCAGGCGGCCTCGTCTCTCCCAGAGCTCAAGGGCTGAGGGTCACACCAGCGCTGCAAACAGGGCAGGACTTGCAGGGACGCACTTCATGCGATGCCCCTTCTGATCTGCGCTGTACATGCATGTGCACTTACAAAAATCAAGGCTCGGGCCAAAAACTTCTTTGTAAAGAATCTTTTCAAATCAGACATGCAGTTAGCCTATATTACTGAATATTCTCGAATGTGTGTATATAGTACATACAATATAATAATATCACACTGGCTAAAACTATCCACCAATCAACAGGGAACAACGATCTGCAAGTAAAATCAAATAGGAATCAGTTTCCAGAGCGTGAGTATTACATGTAAACATGGAGCCTGTACCGGGATGACTTTTCCTCGGCCAACAGGTGCGATTTATACTACTGCCTGTTCTTCTGAGTGAAGCGCTGTTTCAGTCTGTATATCCCAAAATTTGGTATCTATTCTTCAGCAGAAAAACATAAGTCTGGACGATATGCAGAATAAGACAGACCAGTTCATGCTGGTGCATACTCAACTGGAGTTTACTGAACTTTTCACTCACACTTACTCAGGGGCTTCAGAAGAAACACTGCTGATCTTCAAAGGAAGACAACAACAGCCTTCTGTGTGGCACCTTCTCCCTCCCCTTTGTATCTTTAGAACATCCCTCCAGCACTTTATCTGACACCTCTACTGCTGCCACAGTCAAGTACTGAACAAAAATAACCAAGAGCGCCGAGCAGCTGCTAAAGCCCAAATACCCATGTCACAGATCCTCGAGCTAGAATGGGGCAGCTGCAGGAGGCCGTCAAGAGTAAAGGGTTCGAGCAGCCCTGGCATGGATCCAGCATAGAGGTGAGGGGAGGTCAGCAGACCATGAGGAGCAACGAGAGCTCCTCTCTGAGGTGAAGAGTACGAGAAGCAACGAGAGCTCCTTTCTGAGATGACCAGAGTGTGAGGAACAATGAAAGCTTCTATCTGAGGTGACCAGAATGTATGGAGCAATGAGAGCTTCTACTTGACATGACCAGAAACAGCTCTCTGCAGTAACCAGAGTCTGAAGGGCAACAAGAACCAAAAACTCCTCTCTGAGTTTACCAGCATGTGAGAGTCGACAAGAGCTCTTTTCTGAGGTGATCAAAGTGTGAGTAGCCATGAGAGCTCATCCCTTCTTAACGCTACGTCATTTGTAAGTTCTGTCTTTTAACATAGAACTTACAAACGACGTAGGGTTAAGAAGGTTTTGAGAAACTCACCCCAGAACATGAGGAACAATGACGTCTTCTCTCTAAGGTTCCCCGTGCATGAAACACAACAAAGGCTCCCCTCTGAGGTAACCAGAGGCTGAGGAGCAATGAGGTCTCCTTTCTGAGGTCACTGGGTTCAGCCTGACTCAAGATACGCCTGACGTGGTGCTGGTGGGAACAGGGCCTCACAATGACACGACCACAAAATGCAAAGTTAACAAGGTGGCAAGTCTCACGTCAATCAGGTCTAGCCCTCACAAGCCTGCCCTTTCATTTCAGTTCACTTTTCAGCCTTTACAGTGCCAGTGAGGGCTCTGCACACACACACTATACACACACCGCACACGCTCTGTGGCTGGCAGGAGGTCCTTCTTTCATTCGCTCGTTCCCTTAAGCCACTGGCTGCCCCATTTCTCATAATGAAGCATAAAGCATAAAACAAAGACTGTGAATGACCTCAGAGAAAGTTATTAATTAATAACACCCACGCAGAGGCCCGAACTGAGACTGCCATCATGTAACACATTTCTCATTCACACTTTTCTTCTAATTTGTAGCGACGTCCAGCTATTAAGGGGTGATATGAAGTTTCACATCTGCTGTTCGGGATGAATATTCGCAAACAACATCGGGGTCCAGTCGCTTGGCACCTTGGCCTCACCCGGCTAAGCTAGCCGGGAGACACGTCTCCCATTGGAGGTCGTCGTCCACACAGGAAAGATGGGGAGCTTTGACAGGAAGGGCCGACGAAGAGCAAGAGCATTCTGAGTGACAGCCACCTGCCGGGGATTACGGGTGGCTTTCTAATCAGACCCGGCGGAAGGACGGCCTAGGACACGGCTCTGGGCTTTTTCACTCTAATACATTACAGCGTCCACGGCATCCACACGCCATCTGGAACCATCTGTGCTCCCATTGTCCTGAAGGACAGGAAGCCCTGTGCCGAGAGGGGGAGAGTTTGGCCCAAAAGACGCGGAGGCCAGCTGGGCTCCATTCCCAGAGCCCAGCAGCGAACCAGCGTATAAAGACAACCATCCAGGATGTGTCCATGTGTGTCCTGGAGGATGTGACCGCCCATAATCTAATTAGGAAGCTCCCTTTTCCCACGCGGACACCGTTTGTGGCGATTTTGCCTCTGCAATGCCCCAGCATTCACAGATACCGTCTTAAAGGGAGAATTTTCTGCTGAGAAAAACTGTGCGAGTTTTTAATGTGATCCATTCTCATCGTAAGGGCGGGAGAGCGGCGGTGCAGTATTTTTTTCGTTTCCTTTTTCGTCAGATCTGCAGCGACGCAGGCCCCCATGTCCAGTGGTATCCAGGCGCAGGCCCCCGTGTTCAGTGGTATCCAGGCGCATGCTGTGCTGCATCTCGGCCACACCGGCAGGTGATGGCTACCTAACGCGCCGGCCCGACACGGGGCATTGGTTCATTCCTCCTCTCCGGCATCTTTTTAAGCTCCTCTCTACGTCTTTCCAGATGGGATCTTTGTTCTGCCATGATCCCCCCCCACCCCCCACAATATCTCTCCCTCTCTGTCTCCCTCTAATTCTCCCAGTCTCCAAGAATGCTGTTGTTTTTAATTTGGCCCAGCTGTTCTGGCTCACTGCCCGTCAGCCTGACTGCCCACATCTGCTTCCCATCAGCCTGCTGAGGAGTCCACACAAACAGGGCCCTCACATCAAAACATGGGGATTAGAGGTTCCCCGCCTCTGCCATGCGCACCCGCTCCCCGTACCGTCCTCCAGGCTGCCCACCGCCTGACCCCACCAGTCGCCAGCCAAATCAGACAGGGCTGGAAGAGCGCGTGACCTCCGACCTCTGAGGTGTGAGGAGAGAAAACGTGACGGCTCCGACAGTCCTCATAAATCAACAAGGTCCGCTGGAAATTACAGACCGCCACAACTCAGCAGATCCCACTAAAAGTTATGCTGTCCGTCTGTCTGACTCGTGCCTTAAACCAGCCATCAGATCGACCTCAGCTGTCTAAACATAGAGTTTCATTAACAAATGACAGGCATTTAGAAAATATTTACGGAAATGTGGCCCTTTCAATACAACAATATAATACGTAATATCCATGAGGGGGTATTCCTGGGACTGAAGATCCCAGCTGCAGAAGTGTGATCCTACACAACTTTTTAACTCACTAACTGTCACCATAAAATATGACAGGACTACACTTGTTATTACTGACTCGAAACCTTCGGGGTATCCCACTGATGTGATTCCAAAAGGAGAGAGAGTAACTAGGGTCCACAATGAAGGATCACAGACGGGATTCAGGTGTAAAACCCAGGTGATGTAAGATTTTCTCTGCAATTCAATTTCACACAGATTTTATTTCCATTATTATATGCAATGGCTTTGAGGACTAGCAGAAAAATCTGAGCAAATAGAAGCTGACAGTATTGACGACGGAGCACAGATGCACTCTTGCCGACATTATCGGGTGAAAGTTTGTTCATCCCCCATGAGGAATGAAACCCTGCAGGCTGATCCTTAATAAAAGAGGGAACTTTTGACCTCCTCTACTGAGAAACAGAGGACACACACACACACGCACGCACACACACATATGCGTGTGTGAGCGATAGTAACAGACACCAGCACATGGCAGCCATGGGGCAGATGGGCTGGTCAGTTGCTCATATGTGGGGGGCAGTAATGGGGGGGGGGGTCCAGTTTAATGAGCGCATTAGGGCATGACTGGCAAGACTGGGTGCTGATGGGAAAATGGGGCAATAGTGAGTATGGGGTATGGCCAAGGTAACCTGCAGAGGAGCGGGAGGGGGGAGGGGCGTCTATAGCCACCCTCCACAGAAGAACATTCTTGCAGTGCAGAAAGTTTCACCATTGGCAAATTATGATCTTCTGCCCTCATTTCTGGGGCCAAAATTGTGACTCAATTAAACATGGTCGTGCCTCTCTAGTCTGCCTCTACATAAAAACTACCACTGTTAAAGGTTCATTCATTAATTCGTTTATTCATTCCTTCACTCATTCATGCATCTGCTGTACCTAAACATGCCCTATAATAACTGATACATTTCTTGGGATGAGAATACACAAACTCCATACACACACAGAGCATCTAGGCATGCAAGCCCCCAGTCCTGAAGGCGTGAGGCTGTAGGGTTACTCTCTATGCCGTAATCATTTCTTAAAGAGTTTCTCCTGAAAAGCAAGGTGGTGTAACAGCACATAGCCGAGTCTCAGACTGCAGCACGCAGCTG